AATAATCGGAAGGAAGGACACGTGGAATGACCGTGAATCCGCTTTCATGGCGTTTGTGAGGCGTGCAAGCATCGTGAGAATGGCCTGTTTCATTAAATGTTCGTCGCCGGACTGCTCCCACAGTGGTGGCAGCAGGGTGATGATGCTATTCGCATACGGGGTAATCTGTCTCTGTCAGCGCAACCCCTCGACGGGCGCGTCGGCATACGTTGTGCTCTAGACGCTCCACTATGATGCTGATGGTGTTCAATAGCGCCATCTTCGTTTCCGGCAAATCAGCCTCTTGCACCAAAGCCATCAGCCTGTCCAGCGTCAAGGGCGCATAGGGCATGAAGTTTTCGGCCTTGAACTCCCACTCGTCGGCGATGTCTCTGAATTTCCTCCCGGCCGTGACTCGCACCACTTGGTCGTTTAGAGGATCGCTCTTGTCCATCAAATGCTGGAATATCTGGTACACGACTGGCTTTTTCTCGTCTGCTACTTTTACAGCGATCCACTGGGAAATGGTGATGGCTATTCGGCGGCGAATGATGTTGTACCCAGGCTTCTGTTTAGCAACCTCTGGAACAAGTGTCTGCTCAATGAATGCGTCGAAATCGAGTTTGTCGGCCAATATGTCGGCCGCAAGACCGATGGCAGTGTAGACGGAGTCTTTGAAGAGAATGTCTTCGTTGTCTGGAGTTGCGACAGAATAGAAGACTTGCATCAATGGCTCGAGTATCAGATCCTTGAAGTTTTTTGCCAGATCCAAGAACAGCTTCTCTGCGCATGGTCGGATGGCAAACTCCCAGTCCTCCCCGCCGTCTTCCATCTTCTCCCACTCGTCGGGCTCCTCTTCCCACATGCGAAGGTCGCTGGGCCTGAAGACAAAGAAGCGCGTGACAAGAGCCGAAACCATGTCGCGCACCATGTCATTGGTAAGAAGCTCCGACTTGACCATGTCTGTCGCCTGGTTCTTTTCTGCTTTTTCTTCCTTTTGGCGATAGCGAAACGTCTGCGCCGGGTAGAAGACCATTTTGACGCACGCTCGCACGACCAATAGTCCCTTTAGACCAAGCCGCTCGAGGATTGGTGCCTCGTCGTCGGAGTCTCCATCGGTGCCAATCCGCGCATCGTCGAGTGTCTTAGAGCCCCAAGTTTCGCCCAGTTTAGAAACGAGGGCCCAATAGTTGTGAACCAACTCTAGTGAATTCGGTAGCAGCACGAAGCCTGTCGGGTGGTGTTGTGCCATGGCCAGATGGAACTTTGCGAGCTGAACAAGGTGTTTCTCCACCAAATTCCGCACGCCCGGCGCAAGTGGAGATTCATGAAGCACATATGGAAGCAGGTCGCCGAAGTGGGTTCGGGTAACGGTCCAGAATTCTTGAACGTCCTTTTCGCGCGAGTGATAGTCGTAGCCTGCGATTATTAACCGGCGGAGAGCCTTGATTGTTAGCAGGCTGCTTTCAATGTTCTCGATTGCTCCGCCCTCGTCGTCGCCTCCATCGTGGAAGAAGGACTGCCAGGCCTGCACCTTGTTCACGTATATGCGTCCCACGACGTTCAGAATATCTGGTGTTACAGATTGAAGCGATTGGCGAGACTTCATCAGCCTGCCAGTAGCGAGTTCCTTGACAACGTGGAGTAGTATGAGAAGGGCGCGCGAGAGATGGATCCGATAGGCATTTGGGTCCGTGGCAGCCTTGAGAATGTCGAGGAGTTGCTTGAACAGATCAGGCCTTTCCTTGTCAGTGTGAGACTCGTGGATGGGAGGAACATGGATACCAGTCATTCGGAAAATCCAACCTAACAATCTTCGCAATGACCAAGGCGTTCTGGAGCGCCAGACGCTGATCTGCCTCATTGATGCCACTCTCGAGTAAGCGAGCGCGGATAGCTGCCCTGTCGTCTTTGCTCAGAGCGTTGGAGGTCGTCTTTCGCCAGTACTTGTCGATGCCGTTCTTGATCTGGATGATGGCGAGATAGCGCACCTCGAGGGGCAGCGACTTGTCCAGGAAGACTGACTGGGCTTGTTAGTGAAGGTAAGTGATGAGAATGGAGAGCGAAAGTCTCTCATATCTCAAAGGCAAAGAGATTGTCTCTCGCCCGAAGCGATCGCTGAAGACACAGCTTCATCGCTACTTGCAGATATTCAAGGCGGTCGAATCTGCTACGTACTTGAAGCAAGACGTAGAAGCCCTGTGTTTTCTCCCATGTCTGCAGCTGCTTGGTGCCCGTCTGGATCTGTTGGGGGTCGGTAGAGGCGGCGGAGCGCAGGACGTGGTATAGGATGCCCTCGGTCAAGGGATTCGCCTCGCCCGGCACCTCGATAGCGGAGAATTCGACCTGCATAGCGCGAGTTTGGGTGACTAGAACGGGCGATGTGAGCGTATGAAGAGGATACGGCGAGGATCTAGCCCACCTAATCCACGAATTCCACGGTCCTGGAGAGGTTCGTGTGCCCCTCGTGTCCTCGCGTGGGGTTGCGGGGGCTGCGCGGCTCTCTCCACGGTCGAAACGGGTGGGTGGTGCAGCGGCGAGGCGGAGGAAGGAAGCCTGCTCACCCAGGCCCAGGTGCGAGAAGTGAGGAGTGAGGAGCGAGGTGAGGCGGAACGCGTTGGAGGTTGTTTACTTCAACAAGCAACAGCTCGAAAAAAGCTCCCCGCACTGCTCCCCATCCACCCTGTCGTGTTTCGTCACAGGCTGCCTGCTCCGAATCGCCCGCGCCCAGCTCCCAAGTGAACCTCGGCCCAATCCGCTCACCCCATCCCAGAGTCGAACCACTTATCACACAACATACAGATAAACCGACTCCCTTCTGTACGCTGTCGAATCCTCCTCCAGATGATCTCCAATGCCATCTGCAGACTTTGCCGCCGCACAGCAGCGCCTCGCCGCCCGTCGCGCTCAACGCGCTGCTCAGGCTCGCACGCGCCATGATTCTTCATCCCGACTACCTCACCCCTTTGGCACATTTGGAAGAGCCTGGGACGCGATAAGAGGAAGAGAAGGCACCAAGCCCGAGTTCCGAGTCGGCCAAGTCGATGCTGAGCTGCTTGACGAAGAGTTGCTGGCCCTGCTCAAGGGGCAGGTTGGCGAAGGGCTGAAGTATTTCGGCAGCCACATTACAGATTCATACACGCCCGAGATAGTACTGGGACTGAGGTTGATACTCTTTAAACTGAGTATTTGGAACAACAATGCGAGCTACGGCGCCCATCTGCAGGGCCTGCGTTACACAGACGCGCGAACAAACCGGCCAGACAGACCTCCTCCGAAGCCATGGCAAAAGGCAGCCTACGGGCTGATCACAATAGGCGGACGTTATGCCTGGACAAAGTGGGAAGAGTATTTGCTGGCAAGCCAGGAGGACTATACACGCGAAATGTCGCCCGCTCTCAAACTCGCCCAGCGAATGACCGACTACACCAACAGTGCGCACGACGTCGCTTCGCTCGCTTCTTTCCTTGTTTTCCTTGTCAATGGGCGGTATCGGACGCTGACAGACCGACTGCTGCGATTGCGACTGGCACCTACCTCACACTCGACCAGTCGTGACGTCTCTTTTGAATACCTCAATCGCCAGCTCGTCTGGCACGCCTTCACCGAGTTTCTCCTCTTTCTGCTACCGCTCGTCGGCATCTCACGATGGCGTCGTATTCTTGCCCGAACATGGCGAAAATTAAAAGTGTCGTTACTGCGGCTGCTTGGTCGCAACGTCAAGACAGACGACGACGAAAGCGAGCGGAGCAAAGGCGGAGAACTCGGATTCCTTCCTGAGCGCACTTGCGCCATTTGCTACCGCGACCAAAACCCTACATCTGCGACCGAGCAAGACATCCTTGCCCAGTCGGCAGGCGGAGGCGGTGTCGTAGGATCAGCAGCCACCGACATCACAAACCCATACGAAGCCTTGCCGTGTGGGGATATTTACTGCTTCGCATGCCTGGCCCAGCGCATTGCGACCGAGGAAGGGGAAGGTTGGACATGCTTGCGCTGTGGAGAAGTAGTCAAAGAGTGTCGGCCCTGGAATGGAGACGTCCTGGAGGACAAGCGCACTTCCTCCTTTTCACAGACGAGCGCAGGGATGGGAAAAAGCGTGGGCTTTGCGACGGATAACGCGGCGACGGATTCCGAAGATCACGACGAAAAAGCACATGGCCAGTTGCGCCAGGTAGACCCCATTCCTGAGCAAGAAGAACCATCGGGCATAACAGCCAGCGAAGAGGGACGGTTGGGATTGGAGAATACACGGGGCTTGGTCCTGGGGGAGAGTATTGCCTTTTCCGAGAGCAACGAGTGGGCGCGCGCTAGCGATAACGCATCGTATAGCGACGAGCACAGCGAAGAGTACGATGAGGACGAGGAACTCGAGGGCGAAGAGTTGGAGTTTGATGGATAGGGATCCAGCACTACCCCATCATCATCGTCGTCATCATCGTTATTGTTGTAACCTTACGGAAGCATTCTGGAATGATTGTTGCATAGCGTTTTCTTTCTACATATTGTTAGACCAATGCAAAGCCCGCTGTCCTCATCAAGTATCCAACCTGACTACATCGATCGCGTGCTTTTATGTCGGGTTAAGCTAAGCACCGAATTGGTTAGATGCAGAATCTCACCACCCGAGTGGGTGAAATCTTCCACGTGGTCGCTTAAGTAGATACGGTCATGGCCATGGACAAGCAAGTCGCGCAACCCAAGGCAGCGTATCTATGACAGGCTGTCTGTTATTGCATTTGCGCGATTCATATTTGATTTTATAAAGCGCGAATAGAGAAATTATGGCGTGAAGTTGCTGAAATGATGAAGTCTCGCAAAGAGCTCGAAGTTGAAACCAATCCAATTAATTCAAAGATAAGATAAGCCGAGGATATCCGGCGGGGCAGCGCGCTGTGAGTGGCTCAGTGTTGCAGGGTTTGTCGTGCCCAACACTTCCAGCTCTCGGGAGCTGCCCACAAGCCCTCATAACGCAGTATATAGTTTATAAAACCTCCAAAACTCGTATCAATCACTAAAGTGGTGAGATGGCCGAGTTGGTTACCCCAAGCCTTCCAGTACATTATATCATGTCTAACATCACCCAGGCGGTCTATGGCGCTAGCTTCAGGTGCTAGTATCGAAAGATGCGTGGGTTCGAATCCCACTCTCATCACCATATCTTTTTTGCCCTTTTTTTTTTTTTGTTGTGGTGGTGGCGGTGGAAGGCCATGTGTGCAGACACCTGCCCAGGGGTGAATGTTGGTACGTCCAGCACACCAGCTTCTACAACAACCCATTTCAGATAGATTTTAGATGCTACTTCAGGACTACAATCTATGCTCGTGCCGCTAATCCTTTTCCATTCTTTTCACGGCGTCAATGTAGCTCTAACCAACCCCTTTCGCTAGTCATACATTCTGTGTTCAACGCGCAAGTTGTCTCTCGAGATAAAATAAATTTTCTACTATCAGACTCCGGAGGCAGCCACATGAAAGCGCAAGTTGATTCGTTTGGCTTACAACGCGTCGCGTTCCCCACAAGTGCATCGTGCCTCGGGACACGATCTGCATCGGCGCGGGCCAAGCGAGCTTGGCTGACCTCCTCGAATCCTTCAAGAGCTGACCCCCGCCACTTCCCAGCTCATCGTCGAGCTCCTCGCTCTTTGCTGAGTTGAGGGCCTTTCTGCTGCTCCATGTCGCGTAGATATCAACCTGCAGGAGCTGCCCTGCGTCACGAGGCTGAACTTAGCTGAGTTCCCGCCTTAAGGTTGTACCGCCGTCGCATTCGCAATTGCATTCGCATCCCGATCTATCGCTCGTCGCAACCATGTTATTCCGAGTCGCGCGATTTGAGCGACTCTTTCTCATCCTTTTGGCATTTTCAGCATCTTTCTTCGCGCTCACAGAAGCTACTGAGTCGAGTGATACCGGTAGAGGATTACTCGGTGAACTTTCCCACCTCCCACCTCCCACCTCCCTACTAATATCGATTCCCAGATCTCAACTCTGGCTACGAAACAGAAGACCAACATGTCTTCCATCCACCCCCCACTATCCTTCCCACCATCGCGAACACGCTGCAAGATCTCCACTCCGCTCTCTCCACCATGCAAGACAGGTACTTTGGCCTCTGGCTCGGAAAATGGACGACAGCCATCGACTGGACCGCCGCCGTCATGGGCACGCACGTATCTTCCACGCTCTCCTCGCTCTCGCATTCCCTCTCTTACACCATGCCCGGTACCTTCCACAGGAGCCGCAAGCTCGACGTCGAGGCGCAAATGGTGGAGAACGAAATCAACAAATATTTTGGTCAGATCACAACCTACTACTTCGGCGAGGATGCTTTTAGTATCAGGAATCAGGCCTACGATGACATGTTGTGGGTCGTCCTCGGCTGGCTCGAGGCGATACGGTTCATCAACTCGCATTCAGAAAGACATTATCCAATGGCGGAGGATATAGAGATAGAAGGGTCGGAATGGCACGGGAAGCAATTCATCCCCTCTTTTGCGCACAGATCCAGAATCTTTTATGAGCTTGCAGAGAAAGGATGGGACTGGGAACTGTGCGGCGGAGGAATGGTCTGGAGTCCGCATTTGGGGCCGTATAAGAATGCCATCACCAACCAACTTTTTATTAGTGCGAGCATCGGCATGTACCTGTATTTTCCCGGAGACGACAACTGCAGCCCTTTCATGAAGGCGACGGATGAGGAGAAATTTGAGCGGCATGTAGACGGGAAGAGGCTGAGGCAGCGAAATTTCGATTCTCAGAATGCTTGTGGCAGCCGCTCAAAGGACGGTCTCTCTACATACGATCCAATCTATCTCGCCGCCGCCATCAACGGCTATGACTGGCTAAAAAACTCCGGCATGACAAACGACAAGGGCCTATACGTCGACGGCTTCCACATCCACGACTGGGGCAAGAACGGCAGCATCGGCACCGGCAAATGCGACGAGCGCGACGAAATGGTCTACACCTACAACCAAGGCGTCATCCTCTCGGGCCTGCGCCAGCTCTGGGAAGGAACAGGAAACATCACGTACCTCGAGGATGGCCACGAACTGGTCCGAAACGTCATTCGTGCTACAGGCTGGACAGACACCGACATCGCGCCCGCCGTCTCGTTCACCAAATCGTCTCATACAGAACGGAAGAGCAAACAGCCTCCTGTCCTCAGCACAGACTGGCACGGCCTCGGCTCCCACGGCATCCTCACCGAGCTGTGCGACCCCTCGGGCTCCTGCGACCAAAACGGCCAGACCTTCAAGGGCATCTTCTTCCACCACCTCGTGCTCTTCTGCGAACCACTTCCTCGCTCGCCAGTCTCCCCGGGCAAGACGCACGCCGCGAGTCGCGAGATCGCGAAGCTGCATCAGCAATCGTGCGACGAGTATGCTGCGTGGGTGGCGCATAATGCGGAAGCTGCGCTTAATACGCGGGATAGGGAGGGCAGGTTTGGGATGTGGTGGAGTGCGGGGGCGAGGGGGTGGGAGGGGAGTGTGGCGCAGGGGCAAGACTTGGTACCAGAACAGCGCGAGCGGGAAGAAGAGGATGGGCGTGGCACATTGGTGCAGGAAAAACACGTTATTGTACAAGGCGATGTGAATGATCGAGGCAGGGGCCGGACGGTGGAGACGCAGGGCGGGGGTATTGCGGTTGTGAAGGCGCTGTGGGAGTTTTTGAGACGGATGGGGGAGGCGGAAGCTTGAGGAGAAGGACAGCACGCATCTTCTTTCCGTTGCTTTGGCAAGTCTTCTCGCTCGAATTGAATACAATCTTTGAGATCGTTGATCGAGTTCTCCTAGCTTATCATGCAGCCTTGCTTCGTTCTGGGGATCTCCTGTGTATATACCTACGTGCTATTTGGATCATACTTTGAGAAATACACTGATCCCATTCATAATGCCGCTTTTGGATTGATCAATACGGTGACTTGGAACTTGAAGCGATGGGCATAGTAGTAGAGGTAGTATATATAAATTTCAAAGGAGTTTTTGGTAGAATCTAAAAGATATATTATTACTGAAGAGAGTGCAGTACATAGGTAGTTGAATGTTTTACTAACTTAATCTAGTAAGCTAGCCAAGCTGTGGCTGGCGATCCTCGTCGTGGACCGAAGGTCCGAAGCCAAGCCCCCTCGGAGTTTGCGATCACGAAAGATATCTCACCCAACGCCAACGGGCTCCCTAGAACGGGCAAGCTACTAATAGGACACCCGATTCCGTTCATGACCTGTACGTAATTGTCTGTCACCCCCGACGTTGGGAGGTGACTGCGTAGACACTTAGCTTATATTATCCCAGAACGCGTTCGCTCACCCTACTCCATCCGCGATTTCACGACGTACCCTCTTTGCGTGATCTCGCCCGACCCTCCTCGCCAGCGTAACTTCTTTGGATGAACCCATACGACTTTCATTCTTGGTACCCAAGGGGTACCCGCCGCGCTATTGCCGCTGGCGCAAACCACTTCGTTGCAACGGTTGACGATACCACTGTCCTAAAGTACCCTGTCGCGCCCCAGGAAGCGGCCAATTTATACCTACCCGATGCTCAGAGGTTTCGACGCAGTGTCAGAGAGATAGCTTTGCAAGGCCTGAAAGTTGAGGAGTAGATCCTTAGAAGACTAGGCAAGCACCCTCGGATAATTCAGCTCAAGGGGAAGCATGAGGATGGCCTTTTGCTGGAGTATCTACCAAATGGATCTGTGGAGCGCTACCTTGTAGCCAACCCCCGTACTTCGGTAAAGCAACGGCTGGTATGGGGACGACAAGCTGCAGAAGGTCTCGCTTATATTCACACAAAGAATGTCATCCATGGCGACGTGAGCGTCGGCAACCTCCTCCTCGACCCACACTTATCGATCAAGTTCTGTGATTTTCAAGGTAAATTTTTGAACGCGGATGGTACCGTCGCCCTAGATGATGGATCGAGCGAGAGAAGCATGTCATCGATGCCACGTTCAGATCACAACAACCATGACCATAAAACTGATATATTCGCATTGGGGACAGCACTCTTCGTCATTGTAACTGGCAATTTACCCTTTCCAGACCTCGACACCTTGGATGAGGACGAAATACAGAGACGATTCGAGGAACATGAGTTTCCGCCATTGGAAAAGCTTCCAGGTGGAGACGTCATACGAAATTGCTGGACAGGAAGTTATAATAGTGCTTCTGAAATAATAGTCGACCTGCAGAAGCTGGAGAAGACAGTCGAGTAGGAATATTTGTTCCCAAGATTGTGCTTTATTGTCCTGCGCCTTTAGGAATCCATCTGAGTGAGTCGGTACTTGTACAAAGACTTTGGTTAGCTACCTTGACGGTTTACCTTCTCAACACTTTGGGCAAAGCCCGCCACGAACGTTGCTCGTGCCAAAAGAGCTGTTGTCCGTAATCCCTTTACAAGCGGATGTACCGGCGTCTTTGCATTGAACGACCATGCCGCTCTCTATAACGTGTTTCGGAGTCGCTGTGCAGTTGATCTATTTACGTTTGTGAAGTTGGCGTTCACACATGCTTGCTATTTGCAAATGAATAGCTAGAGATGATGGATGTGATGGTGAGAGGCAAAGAGGCTGGCCGGTGAAGACGGTCGGCAGTTTTCGGCTGGCATGGCACCGATCAATGTCATCGTAACGGCTGCGCTGCCAGCCTTTCATTGGCTGGCTGGCTACGTATGACACCTGGTTTGTGCCAGACAGACGTTCGGGCTCCAGCATTTCCACGCCGATTCCTACTTTCGCCCCCTAGCGGTGAAGTACGGCGAAATACTTGTAGGGCTGAAAGATTGGTTTTCGACAGATTCGAACTAGCCGCCTCGCCTATCGATCCTTGGTTTCGTCAGGCGGGCAGTTGCACCGCGCACCAGGATGACTGAAAGCCCGGTATTGGACGGGTGGGCTGTGTTGACATTTCGCACAGCCAACCCACCAACCATCGCTTACCTCGTCTTTCAACATAAGTACCGGTCGGAAGATCCACAGCTTCGAAGAACCTGGCATTTAAAAGCGCGACTCTACCTACAGTTCCCCAACATAATTCATCAATTCTTATAGCACATACCGCTTTCCATCCAAACCTTGAAGTTTAGTTTTCGCAAGGTCATATCTGGCATCGCTGCTTCTGCTGGAACATTTGTCAATCGAGCAAAACCCGAATATT